CCTCTCCATTTGGTTGTCACAATAACCCTGTTGAAACCAGTGAGAGTCAGTGACTGGCCCCAAATGACCCAGTGAGCTTCATGTGCAAGTGGGTACTTGAACCTGGTTTCCCTAGTCTTATACTTGAACTGCTACGCTGCAGTGGCTCTTCTCGGGGAGGGCTTGGTTCTTCCATGTTAAGAGTTCGTGAATCCAGAATTGTTTCATGTGAGTCCAGGGAAAGGGTGTGAAGTGCAATACAGGAGGAGGAACTTACTTGGCCCGTCATCCTAGTCTCTCTTTCGTTCCCCTGCCCATGAGCAGTGCACAAACAGTCCTGCTCCTAGAGGGGAAAAGTTTGGTGATGTGCTGGTAGGCCCGGCGTCAGCACTTCATGGTGACAGCGCCCCCACTGCCTCCCTTCTTGGCCATGTTAAATTGCCTGTGTACTTCTCAGGTGGATGCACGCTGTGTGTGACAACCTTTTCACTGAGGAAGAAGTAGAGCAAGCAGCAGATGAGGGATTTGACTGTGCCTCGTGTCAGCCCTATGTAGTCAAGCCTGTTGGTGAGTACCGATATGGAGCGAGAGCCTCCTGCCAGGCCCTCTGTGCTGTGCTTTAAAGGAAGCAGCAGCAACTACTTGATTCTAGAAGAGAGATCAGAGCCAGACTCGCCACCTGGCACCCTTGGGGAGATGCCTGGGCTCCAGTGTGCTGGCAAGGCTCACCACTAATGGTTGATCTGGGCCCCTGTTTCAATAATGAAAGTCTGGTTTCACCAATGGGTGCCAGGAGGATAGGCTGCCATTTTAGCCTCCCAGAATGTCTCTGATGTAGTGTTTTTCCAAGGCACTGTGGGAAATTAAAGAGTGGTCGCTGCACTTATGTAGAACACACAGCAACTCCCACCCACCCCACCACCAGTGGGTCCTTCACATCTGGACCTAGCCCTGGAAGGAGTTCTTGATCCTTAGAATTTGGAAGAAAAATTCCCTTCGAGGTTATCCTTTTCTAGGTACCTGCTCTTCCCACTCATGAAAAGCTTGCTTTTGAGCCCAGCAATTCAAGAGCGGGGAGCAAGAGCTGCTGATGGTATCTCTACATGGCGGGATTAGTACAGCCTCACTTCCTGTTTGCAAAAGCAGGTGCTCTTGATACCTTTGCAGTGGGGTGGGCAGAGTCCACAAAAGGGGCACATCATTGTTGCATAAAGACTACAGCAAGCTGGACTGGGGTAGGAGGGCATGGAGGTTTGGGAGCTGAGGAGCAGGGGAACAAAAAGTGCTGATCAGTTTTGGAGGTCGTTGTCTCTCCCCCCCTCCCCCATTTGACTCTCCCTTTTCTTACAAGTTCCAGTTCCCCCTCCGGAAATTATCCCCGTGAAGATCAAGGAGCCAGGTAAGTTCCTTTCTCATCCACGTTCCATATACTTGACACACCTTCCCCATAACCAAATCCCAAGACTGAGCAAGCTTTCATGTGTGCCTTACGGAGCACTACATGGACTTGCCTGCTGCTGCTGTGCTGGGGACCCCATCTGGCCTTTGGCTTCTTCCCTTCAGGGATCTGGTTCTCAGAGGGTGAGGCCAGTCTCCTTTTGGTTCTCTTCTTAAGGCTTTTCTGAACCTCAGGAGCACAGGAAGCTACTCTGTGCCAGGTCAGAACATCAGTCCATCTAGCTTAGGACTGGCAGCAGCTCTCCAGGGTTTCAGGCAGGTGATTCGCCGTTTCCTCCTGGAGATACCTGGGATTGAACTTTGTCCCATCTCCATGCAAAGCAGGTGCCACGGAGTTATGGCCCTTCCCACGGAGTAGAATTGCTGTTGTCTAGTTTGCTGCTCATTACCTTCTTAGTAGTGTGCTAATTAACTGGGTTTTAATTGATTCTATATTATGTTTTCATTTGTAAGTTGTTTTGAGTAAGTAGGTTTTACCCAGAAAACTGATAAATTTTAGGGTACAGATATCCCATGCGGCTTCTTTGTGCTGAGAAGTTCAGACAGGTGTTGTGCAGAAACCTCATCAGGCCTAAGAACAACCGGGCACTGTGCTCTGGGTTTGGTAAGGAGCAGCTTAGGGTCCTAGTATTGAAAAGGCCAGGCTGACCATATATTGCTTTGAGAGGGGTTGTGGCTCTCTAAGCCAGCCAAAGGGTTTTGCATCTGCAGATAAATGTACGAGGTGCATGTTTTTAGCAGATTACTGTTGTCAGCTGCAAGAGGGGATAGGGATTTGGTGGATTAAAACAAGGGGATATATAACCTCCAGCTATTTTTCTGTTTATGTCTCAGAAGCACATGCCACAATTGAAAAAAGACAAACTTGGTTTCATCCTCTCTCTCCATAGAACCTCAGTATTTTCGCTTTGAAGGTGTCTGGCTAACAGAGGCTGGCATGGCAGTGCTGCGTAACTTGTCCTTATCGCCATTACACAAGCGCCGACCTCGCAAAACATTGACAATAACACCAACCACGCCACGGCCGGGCACCTTCAATGGTGAAGGTGGGCTGGACGGGATTGATCCTCTGGGTGCTGATGAAAAAAAGGATGGTGAAGTGGAGGCAGATGAGATCCTGAAAGCTGAAGGTTTGTGCCTGTCTTCACTAGCTTCTGTATAAGGAGCTGAATGTTTCACCCAGCACTATCGACTCAGTTAACAGTAGACATTGGAACACAGTTTTCAAAGGGTATTTCCTTGTGGGAATTGGAAATTTCCCAGTTGATGATTGAATTAAGCCTTATTCCTGAGCCACAGCTCCTCTGCTTCCAAACTTGGATTGAAATCTAGAGTGAGGAATGCTGTTTTCTATTGCAGTCTTGTGGAGATGGCATAATCCAAGCCAGTTCTTGTAGTACTAGGAAATCTGCGAGCCAGCACTGTTTTGTCATTTCTGACTAGAGTAGAAATCTTCGAAGCTGTAATGATGAACTTGTATGGAATCCGGAGTCTCAGCAAAGGGCCTGCCATGTGATGTTAGCAGATTTGATGGGAAGGGGAATGTATATGCCCCGAAGCCCCAGAGTTCAAAATTCTACAGCTCAGCAGTGTTAACATTTTTGACCTGTGGGATGTTGCGGGGTGGGGAGAGACTAACCAGTCTGTTATAAGCAAAAGTTCTTAACCTGCTCGTTCAGTTGGCAGTTGTCTCTGTGTGAGTTCAGTTAGGTGTCTGCGTATAAGGTACAATGTGGAGTGGTGTGTATGGTGGAACAGAAAGGTGATTGGTGCACATGCCTAATAGGGACAAATAAGGGGAGGGCTTTTAAAAGAGGGTTTGTTCTCATTTACCATCCACCTGCAGTTAGCATCGAGCACATGGAGTGTGAGATCAAACTGGAAGCTCCTGCTACCCCAGAGAGGGAAGCCACAGCCGATGCTGATTTGGGGAAAGGTCTGTTGGAAGACTCGGAGGAAGTCAAGAAGCGGAAGCGCAAGCCATATCGTCCAGGTGAGTGTTCCTCGCCTGGGTCAAGCCCTGGATGAGACGTGGCGGCCTCTGCCTTGTTCACTAATTTGTCCTTCCTCTGCCCCGGGGCAGGTATTGGAGGGTTCATGGTGCGGCAGCGAAAGTCACACACACGCTTGAAAAAGAGTTCAGCGGCTGTGGCAGAACCCTCTCGTGAGGTGATAGGTGCCGAAGGGCACCCAGAAGAGGGTAAGTGCTTTGCTTGCACTCCGCTCCCTCACCTTCTAATATTATTGTGTTGCGGGGTGCCCGTGTTGTTCTTCTAGACACTCCCCTAACTTAAGATCATGGAGGAGACAGCAGCTTGCTTTTCGTTTGTATATCTGTATCTGTAGGTTTGAGTATCCTGCATCCAGTGTTTTTTATTTTGATAAACTATTTTTAATTTATGCATTTCTTTCATTTCTGCACTGCCCCATAGCCAAAGCCCTCTGGGTGGTTTGCACAGTCCATGTAAATTTTCCATCTGTGTAATAACGGTACATAATTATTACTTAAAGACTCTGGTTCTTAAATGTTGGGGCTTTTTAGCCAAATGTGGGGCAGGCCAGAAGCAAATGATAAGAAAGGTCTAGGGTTTTGTTGGCCTCTGGGTGCCAGGAAAGCAAACAGCAGCATCCTTTACAGTGTGTTGCAACTTCCTGTCCTTCTGCATGGCCCTGCTCTCCATTAAGTCCCACCCATTTCTTCCCCTCCCTGTCCTAGTTTCTGAACCTAAAATATAGTGTGAGCTGAGCCAGACTTCAGCTACCACGGATGCATTCACTACTGCCAGTTTTGTCCAAGCCAATTGTGGCACTGATAGCTCCAACCTCCCTTCCCAGCAGGAGCTCAGCCCAACCCACCCTCTGAAACCCCTGCAGAGGCAATTGCTGAGCAGATAGTGGTGGAGGGGGATGAGAAGAAGAAACGTCGAGGCAGGAAAAAGAGCAAACTGGAAGACATGTTCCCTGCTTACCTTCAGGTAAGGATGATACCTTGATGCAGCTTTCCCCAACCGCAGCCACTGTGGGGTAAAGGTGCTTATAGTCCAGTACATCTGAAAGGGCACCAGGTTGAGAGTGGCTGTCTTGGTGGATTGCAGGAGAGATGCTTCGGTGCATGTGTGGCTGGAGCTCTCCTACTCCCACTTCTTTCAGCTTCTGTCTCACCCAGACTGGGAGAAAAGGGATATGGTAATCATAGAGGTAGGAGGGGTGTGCGGGGTGAGTGTGGTGATGAGTCAAAAGAACTGCAAAATGATGCTTTGGAAAATGCAGAGTTGCTAAAACAGCAGTGGAACAGAGATCGTTAGAGGGACCATGAGTTAAAAACAGGTGTAAATGGAAGGAAGTCTGAAAATGGGAAAGGCGGGGGGGGGGGTTCCTGTCTGGAGGTCTTGCATCAGAGCAGCTGCTCTAATCACTACATCCAAGTAATAATCTGGGCATGTGCTGCTGCTTCTCTTCTCCATTTGTTCCTTCTTCAATCCCTTTGACAGGAAGCATTTTTTGGAAAGACGCTCTTAGACCTGAGCCGAAAGGCCTTGCTGGCAGCTGGTGGTCTGGGTGGGGATAGCACTACTCACCCTCCTGTTGGCCAGGGACCCCCCAGGCCCAAGACGGATTCCAGCATGCTCCAGAAAGGGCCCGTGGATGGGAAAGAGGCTTCAGTTCAGCCCAAAGGTAAGTGGACAATGGAAAAAAGATGGTTGAATCAAGGGGAGAGAAATATGGGGGGAGATGGGGGTCTTACTTGTGGCTGGCACCGAGGGAATGGGAGAACTGGCATGGTGTGGAAAGGGGCGTTTGATTTGTGTCCTAAATAGGTCTTCATGGAAGATTGCAGGCATGCCCCAGTTGATTTTGAAAGAACTGTATTCACGAAAAATAACGGTTAGGATCATAGAGGGCAAGGGCAAGGTGGGAAAGAACTTGCACTGAGTTGGTGTTAAAAATCTCATCTCTTAATCATATTGATTCCTGAAGAGGCCATCAGTATATAAGTATGGTAGGCAGTAAAATAACTAGATTAAATAAATACTGGCAAAATAGAACAATGGTACTGTACTGGAAAAGTCCCCTGATGTACTGAGGCCTGGCAGTGCTTGTAGAAAAGTGCTGGTATGCCATCTTCTCTAATGTTTGGATGGCCTGTTTCTGTAGTCTTGTGATGTGCAACATCCACAAACATTAAGAGCATCTCAGGTTGTTTTTGCAGTGCTTGTATGCTTGGGCATAGTACTGCAGATTGCATATGCTAGGTAGGCAAGCTTTGTTCTGTCCAGAGCCTTGTGGGTAATCTCTTGGGGTTGTGTGTCAGCCCCGAGCAGGGCCAAAGCCAGCAGAGGGCAGGGACAGGGCCTTAAGTAAGTGAATCACCCCCTTTCTTCCTCCTCCTCCTTGCAGCTAGCTGCCTGGGAGGGGCAAATTGCTCTTGCCAGAGGCCTGCACTGATCACACGCAAAATAAAATAAAATAAAATAAATAAGTCACCCTGAACATACTGATACACGAGAAATGTTACTTCACAGAATTGAGTCTTACTTCAAAAATATGCTTCTTTTCTGATCAGGGTGCCTATAAGCCCTCGAACCTGGAGGATTATGGCATCCCGTGAAGAGTGGGAGGAGCAGCAAAGGTGCTCGCTGCCTCCCTCTTTCTCCTGCTTTGCATTTTCACTTGATGGGTGTTTTCTGCCTTCCAGCTAGGGCACTTCGGGGGGCGAGGGAAGGAGGCTGCAGAGGACACAGGATATGTTGTGTTGCAGTCTCTGCAGGCACTGCCTCTCCTTATGCACACTAAAGTCCCCTTTATCCTCTGTCCATGGTTGAGTTCTTGAGCTTGGAGAGGCAGCCAGCATATTTCTTTCTGTACCATCTGCAAACTGGGGAAGGGTATTCTGTACCATCTGCAGCATCCTGTGGCCCCTAAGCAGCCACTCCCTATGTGACCCTCTGGACTTCCTTGTACTTAATATTCAGCCATACTTCCAGGGACCAGGTGATGTTACTTTAGGGGCCGTAGCCTTTTAGCTGGATCAGCTTCTTCCTGTTTTCCTCTCTTCCATTAGGGGATGAATGTGTTGACAGCAGGGAGGCAGCAGCTCCAGAAAACAACTTGAAAACAGCTGATGCCAAGGCCGAGAATACCGGTGCGTATGCAGTCTTTAAAGAAGAGTGGAAGACTTGGGATGGTTTCTCGCATAAGGATCTGTGCCACGTTACTTGGAAGGCTGTGTCTTGTATCCACTTACCTGGAAGCAGAAGCCCCAGTCAACTTAGTGAGGCATCCTTCTGGGTAGATGTGCATAGTATTGTGATGTGAAGAACTTGAAACAGCCAAGTTCTTTTCCCTTTGCAGTCCTGTTTAGCCATGTGCTGATCTGCATAATGTATTGTGTTCTCCTGTTTTTGTTTTTGCTAAAATATGATCTGTATCTTAACTTAAGTGATGCCTCTCAAAAGTGGCCCTAAGTGGGTTGGTGTCTCCTGCAGTTTCCCTCTGGATTAGTTGGCTTTAAAAGCACAAGGTGAATGGCTCTTACAGTTGAATGAAAACAGGGTTACATTTTACTTGGCATCATCAGATATGTGGAACTCGTTTATGTAAAACGGCCAACAACCCCTGTCAAAATGTGCCCCCTGAACTTTTCTGTTGAGGCTGCATGCTAGCAGGAACCATGTGCCAGCAGTGAGTGGGGTGGAAGTCACTGGTGGGCAAGTCCAGAGCACAGCGTGGGTGGGACCACTTCTTTTCTGGCTCTGTCTTTCTGACAGGTCCTCTTTCTCTTCCTCCCCACCCAGTGGGCCACCCGGAGAGAAAAAAATTGCTGTCCCAGAGGACTGGAATGATCGTTTGCAGAGGGCTTTTGAAATTAGGCCATGCCTGAAGGGCCATATCTAGCTGCAGGGATCAGTCAGGTTGCTCAGTTCTATTATAAATCTATATTTTTTACAAAAGGACTATTGAAGTGCAGTTTATTAAGTGTACCCATTCATCTAGCTCTCTCGTTGTACCTCTGTTGGGGATGGCCTAGACAAGGACTCCATGGGTACTGCTTGCTGGTTCTGGAGATATTCCTGGGCTTCCACTGAGTGGGGAGGAAGGCAGGAACCTCAAAGGGCCTCTTTAAAATGTACAGTATACTTGCTGCTGCTTGGTCCTCTGTCCAAGTTGCTCCTAGTCAAGAACAAAACATTAAACAGCTTAACTGGACCAGTAGTTGGAGTAGCAGGCATCTCCAACTTCCTCTTTAGAAGTCACCTTTCCTCTGCCTCCTCTGTGGATGGACCAGGACCCCTTTGGACCTCTCCAGGTAGTGACTACTGAGGCACAAACCAGTGAAGATGCTGCAGCCTCCTGGAGACCCACAGAACTCTGTAGGATGGGGACAAGGAAGTAAAATGCAATGGCAGAAAATAAGCAGTGGCCTGATTAGCCCACCTGCCCACCTGCCATACTTGCTTCAGTGACAACCTGTTTGGGGCTTGAGGGAACATGTTAAATCTGACGATTAGTCCATTTAGCCCTCTACTGTCTCCTTCAGGGCTTTTACTCTCTAGAAGATTTCCTTGGACCTTCTACTCATGCTGGCATATTCATTGTTGCAGCCAAATTTCTTTACGCTTCTAAAATGCGTTAAAATACAAATTCTGCACCAGTGGGCTGATCTCTGTCCCCCAAATTTATTTCACTTCTTTATCACAAAGTAAATTCGTGCATGCTTGCTCAAGTTTGCACTCTTTAACTTTGGAGGATCAGGGAGCTACAGCGCACACCAAACTCAAATATCTTGAAAATTATATATACTGGATCCTGCGATGGTCACTCCTGCCCCACCTGCTCACTTGTGAGATATTGGGAAGGCAGTCCGGAGGCAGTGTAGATACTTGGTGCACTGTGTTCCCAGCAGACCACCCCTGTCGAAAGGCAGATTGCTACCATTTGCACTAGCTGAAAATGGAGCTTAACTATGGGTAGCCCAACTTCAGGGTGCCTAATTTTGATAGTGCTAATAGTTTTTTCCTGCCAAAAGGGTGTCAGTGCCTTATTTGTTCAGTCTCCAGTACCAGGAAGAGGCAAAAACTGGAAGTTAAGAGGGACCAGAGTTTTTCTTAAAAAATCAAGTTGACCTGTCATGATGTAGCTGGAAGGGATGAAGGGTGTCACCTCATTTTGTGCGAGTGGGGGTTGGGAATGACACCTTCCTGTCATTTTCAGGGTATTATGTCTCAGCCTTGCCCCTTTCTAGTAGTTGCTTCCCTTACTGACAGAACTGGTGTGTTTGCTCCCACAGGCACAGAGGAACAGATGGTACCCAAGAACTCTGCAGATCCTACAGGTGCCGAGAACCCAGCCACACCCCCGGGGGAGGGGGTGCTCAGCTCCGACCTTGACAAAATCCCCACTGAAGGTCAGGCGGGCCCTTTGAATAGACCCTACTGCCCCCATCTCCCTGGATAGGATTCCCCTCTGGAGAGCAAGGGAGCCTGGGAGACTGGACTCCCTTGGCTTTTCTTCCCAGCTCTAGAATAGGGGTGGATGCCAGTAGCTTAAAGTGCTACGTATCCATCACACCTTGATCTTTCACCCCCACCCCCATCTCCACCCCTGTCCTTATCAGAGACCAGCAGATTGCTACATGACTGCGGTTGCTCTAGATGACCTTAATCTCTTGTGATTCCATTGCGGCTTTCCTCCATACCAACAGAACTACCTAAAATGGAGAGCAAGGATGTTCAGCAGCTCTTTAAAGATGTCCTGGGGTCCACTGAGCGAGAGCAGCAGCTCAACTGTGTTGGGACAGAAGCTGAGGCTGGCGGTATCCGTGACCCAAATCGCACGCAGCTCGCCCAGAGGCCTTTCTTGCAAGGTGAGCCTGTACTATTGGAGGGTGCTGTGAGACACATACTCTGCCTTCAGCTGGTTACTTCACATGCGCTGGCTTCTCTTCTTCTCTTGTCCTTTTCATTTGTTTAAAGCATGTTTGGAACCTTCAGTTGGAAAGGCTTCATGACCTGCAGGCTTAAAATAAAAAAGGCAACGATAACTAAAGGAAAGTTAGTGAAGAAGGTAGGAAGAAAATAGGAAACTCAGGCACTGGTTGCTATGGTGAAAGTGTATTTCTTACCATGATCATGTGCAAACAGTTGAGGGAGAGGAGGAGCTTAGTGAAGCTAGTATTTCAGCGGAGCTGATGGGATGATCTTGCAGTAGGTCCTTAGGCCTTCCTGCACTGGGTTCCGGGCGAGGCAGGAGCCACTCAAGGCTCGATGACCACTTTGCAAGACCTGGCAGATTGGGACAGGATATCCACCCACCCACCCACTCCGTTTTCCCTTGGGTGGAGGGCCTCTACGCATGTCGCTTGACCACATGTAGGGCCCCTTTATACCAGGCGGAATGTGCAGGCTGGTGTAGGCAGTAACGGGTGAAGCGGGCATGCTGCTGCCTGTGATCGTGCTCCCCCATAAGCAGGGATGGGGAGTCTTGGCCAATCTGGCCTTTCTGGGGCCCCAGACTGGGCCCCTGAGATTCTCTAGAGGGATTCTCTAGATCAGGGGTCCTCAGATTTTTTCAAAGGGGGCCAGCTGAACGGCGGTGGCGGCCGGTGCAGGCCGCTGAGGCAGCGACGGGTGCACGTGTGGCGGCAGCTCGCTCGCTGGCTCGGAGATCTCCCAACGACTCCAAAACCATCTCCGAGCGAGCAAGCCACCGCCTCCCTGCCCGCATGGTGAGTGGGCGGCGGTGCGGGCCGGATAAATGGTCACGGTGGGCAGGATCCGTCCCGTGGGCTGTAGTTTGAGGACTCATGCTCTAGATGTTCCTCCAACCGCCAGTTGTTTACTGGTTTCTTGGCTTTTTTACAGCTTTTTCCCTGTTGTACAAGGCTGAAATACCTCTTTTCAAGCTTAGTTACTGGCAGGAAGAGCTTTATAGCTGGCATGTTTGAGAGGGGGTTGGCCTCATCTCTTTTGCTTCATCCTCATTCACCTTGGGAACATTCCCCCAAGAGCTTCTCCAAAGTTGTCTGTGGCCCTCATGCTGAAATAGGGTTTCCACCTGTTATAGATTATGTATTCCTGACCTAACCATGGGTGAGTTATAGAATGAACAATAAAAATACTGGATTAAGAAATGCATACATGCAAACAAACACAAATATAGATATATTTGTATCCTGTCAAGGAAAATTAGAAAGTGTTTTGAGTTTTCAGTTCTTTGGGCAGTTGGGAGATTCATGATTTTCATGCCTTTGGAACAATCTCTGACACAACTCCAGTATGAATATTTAACTTGTGAGCATCAGGTAGTATGACTGTTTGGTACATAGAAGGTCTGAGTTCAAATTCCCTGTCTAGCTACAAAGCTCATTCAGTGACTTTGAAAGATCATCTATTGTGTGAGTGTGCTTCCTCAGGCTGTGGTTGTAAGCTTACACCGGAATTCCATTCTGTACTCTATAAAATGTAAATATGCATAGAAAAATTGCTTACCTGTTTGAGTTGTATCCCACCTGTCCACCAAGATAATGTCACTCAAGGACAACAGTGATTCAATATGGTCTTAAGAGTGGGTTTAGATTAGCCTTCCTGCTGTCCCACAGATGTTTTGGTCTACCACTCAGCATTCCTGCCTGTTGGTTAAATACCCAAAACATCTGAAAGGAACCAGGTTGGGAAAAACTGTCTTAGATGATGTGGTTCACATGCATAGACCTCTGTTCTAATGTTTGTGGCAGATTCTGCTCTCGGTCCCCGTTTGCTGTGAGATGCAGACACTGGAAATGGGGAAAAAGTTTTCACCAGGGTGAAAATGCTCAGGGAACACACCCATCTAGAATATTTGTGGAAGAAAGTCTGTGTGCTCGTGTGGTATGCATTTGCGCATGTGTAATGGAACCGGCCTTTGATTCAGCCTCTGTGATGTGCCCTTTCTGTAGGTGCTGGTGTCTCCCTTGGACCCTTGCAACCCGCTGTGCCCATGGAGACCTACTCTGGAGTTTGCCAGTCCCCTTTCCTGGATAGCAGGTGAGTCAGCCACAGTGGTATTCTCTTTCCCCCGGCAAGAATGTTCAGACACTGCCTCTGGGCGGGCAAAGCCCTGAACAATGCCATTCTCCCCCCATTCCCAGCACTCCGCTGCAGCTACCGCCTCTTGAACGGCTTGGTTTTGTTCTTCCACTGCCATGCAGGGAGAGGAGTGGCTTCTTCAGCCCTGAGCAATGTGAACCGGAGAGTCCCTGGGCCAGCAGCTCTGCAGCTTCTACACCCACCACGCCCACCACAGAGGGGGAGAATGATGGGCTTTCTTATAACCAGCGGAGCCTGCAGCGCTGGGAGAAGGATGAGGAGCTGGGCGAATTATCCACCATCTCACCTGTGTTATATGCCAACATGAACTTTCCCAGTCTCAAGCAGGACTACCCAGGTTAGTAGTCTTCCTCTTCTTCCACTGTGGCCTGAGGCCCTTCTTTGCAGACTACAAAGCTGTGACAATGGGAAGCTGACTCTTCTCTGGTGCTGTTTGATTCAGCAAAACCCACGTTCTGCCCTCGAGTGACCCCAAACCTGTTCTTGAAGTAGCCATATTGTGTGATTCAAATACTTCTAGGCCTGAAGCAGGGTCAACAAGCTATGGCGCGCACTGTAACAAAAGTGCCTTCTCACTTGGATGTCTTCTTCAACAGTTGCTCTGTTTTGTCACATTTTCACCACAGTCTCACAATTTGCCAAAAAATGTGTCTGTAAAAGAATGATAGCTGAGCTGCTCCTGTCTCCAGTTCCTGTCTTTCTGCTGCAGGATTGCAAGATGCACCCAGCTATGCCCATGACTGTTAGGCTAGCCATTCTTACGTTCTCTTAGCCTCCTGATTGTTCCTATTGCATAGCTAGAAGGCCTGGAGCCATCCATCTTTTTGCCTAGCCAGAAAAAGCTTTCCCTTTGTCTTTTCTCTCCCTAGTGTTTTCAGTCTGGTGGAATAGACAAATTCTCTTTCCTCTTCTGTTTGGCATAATATACAAGAGGGAACCCTCAAAAAACAGGAATTAATTTGTAAAAAATCATGTATTTATTTTTACATGTTCAAATTTCATTCATCTCCAAAATACTTTCCATTTGATGCACTGCATTTATCAAGACATTTTTTCCAAGTTTTGAACTTGTCCATTTTGATGCCTTTTAGTGCTTCTGTCCATTTTTTGTTTCACCTCCTCCACATCAGTAAAACGTTTCCCTTTGAGGGCTTTTTTAATCCTGGGAAACAAAAAAAAGGTCACATGGGGCAAGATTGGGTGAATAGGGGAGGTGCGGCACAAGGGTCATGCCATTTTCGGTGAAAATGCTGAACACTCAGCTGAACAAACTTTCACCGCCATATGTTTGTGTAAATCAGCCATCACTAAATAGGCAAATGCGAGTCTACAAAAAAAAAAAAACCCCAAAACCTCACTGAAGTCGATAAAACAACCTCTCACAACCAAGCACCTGGGTATACTGATGCAGATGATTTCCTAGAACAGTAAGGGCGAACCTTAGAGACCAAGTGTCCAAACTGCAGCTCAAAACCCACTTATTTATCACAAACTGCCAACACTACAATAAAACCTGAAAACAGGTTTTGGTTTAGAAAAAACAACTCACAGCCAGTCCAAGCAAATATATACATAACAGCGCACTGACCGGCCATGAGAAAGCTCGGATGTGTCGCGGCTAATGGGGTGCGGCTCATGACGTCATCGCTTAGCACTGCTGCTCCTTTCCAAGCATGTTCATGGCCCCTGTGCGTGCTGTTATCCAATGCTCCGTTGCTGAGGCAATGCTGGGACGACTTGGCTTGCATGCCAACACAGAGGGCTCTGCGTGCCCTATGTGACACGCATGCCATAGATTCGCCACCATTGGCCTGGTGCAACACCCCTTACGCTAATACAGGGGTAAAGTTCCATTGAAAAGAGGGCCCTTTTGAGAAAGCCTTCCTTGAGTCACTTTCTCTGCACAGCTGAATATTTTTGCCCAGTATAAACACGTTCCAACCATCAAAAGCATGCCAGGACACTTTGTTTTTCTAACTCTAACCCTACCCTGGTGCATACCCATAAACCTAATTGAGGGGTAAAGTTGCAGTGTAAACACAACAATTATGAAAAAGGCATTCCTTTAGGAGCTTTCTCTTCACAGCTCAACATCAAAATTAGGCCAGGACACCTCATTTTTCTAACCCTATCCTTACCTAGGTGCACACCTATAACCCTAATAGAGGGATAAAATTCCTTTTAAAAGAGCGCGCTTTTGAAAAAGCCTTCCTTGAGTAGCGTTTTTTGCATTGCTCGACATTTCTGCCCATACTAAACTCATTCCAACCATCAAACCCATGCCAGGACACCTCGTTTTTCTAACCCTATCCTGGTGCACAGCCCTAACCCTAATATGAGGGTAAAGTTCCTTTTAAAAGAGAGCGCTTTTGAAAAAACCTTCCTTGAGTGGCTTGTTCTGCATAGCCCAACATTTCTGCCCATTCTAAACACATTCCAGCCATCAAAACCAGGCCAGGACACCTCGGTTTTCTAACCCTACGCTGGTGCACAGCCCTAACCCTAATGGAGGGGTGCAGTTCCACTAAAAATGGGATAATTTTGAAAAAGCCTTATTTTGGTAGCTTTCTCTGCACAGCTCAACATTTCTGCCCCGCATAAGCACATTACAACCATAAGAACTATGCAAGGACACCTCGTTTTTCTAACCCTAACCCTACCCTCTTTTACACCTTTACCCCTAATAGAGGGGTACAGTTCCATTTCAAAGAGAGAACTTTTGAAAAAGCGTTCCTTGAGGAGCTTTCTCTTCACAGCTCAACATTTCTTCCCATTCTAGACACATTCCAACCATCAAACCATGTCAGGACACCTCATTTGTCTAATCCTACCCTGATGCACACCCCTAACCCTAATACGGGGGTAAAGTTCCACTGAAAATAGGGTAATTTTGAAAAAGCCTTCCCTGAGTCGCTTTCTCTGCACAGCTCAACATTTCTGCCCATACTAGATGCATTCCAAACATCAAAACCATGCCAAGACACGTCATTTTTCTAACCATAACCCTACCCTGGTGCACACCCCTAACCCGAATGGAGGGGTCAAGTTCCACTAAAAGTAGGACAATTTTGAAAAAGTCTTCCTTGAGTAGCCTTTTCTGCACAGCTCAACATTCCTGCCCAGTATAAGCACATTACAACCATCAAAAACATGCCAGGAGACCTCATTTTTCTAAGTCTATCCCTACCCTCATGCACAGCCCTACCCTAATAGACATGTAAAGTTCCAATAAAATTAGGACAATTTTGGAAAAGCCTTCCACTAGTAGCTTCTTCTGCACAGCTCAACATTTCTGCCCATTCTAAGCGCATTCTAACCATCAAAACCATGCCAGGACACGTCGGTTTTCTAACCATAACCCTACCCTGGTGCACGCCCCTAACCCTAATGGAGGGGTCAAGTTCCACTGAAAATAGGGTGCTTTTGAAAGAGCCTTCCTTGAATAGCCTTTTTTGCACAGCTCAACATTTCTGCCCGTCCTAAACGCATTCCAACCAACAAAAACATACCAGGACAACTCGTTTTTCTAACCCTAACCCTAACCCTACCCTGGTGCAGACCCCTAACCCTAATGGAGGGTAATGTTCCACTAAAAATAGGACAATTTTGAAAAAGCCTCATTTCCGTAGCTTTTTCTCCACAGCTCAGCATTTCTGTTCATTCTAAACACATTCCAACTATCCAAAGCATGCCAGGACACCTCGTTTTTCTAACCCTAACCCTACCATTGTGCACACCCCTATCCCTAATTGAGGGGTAATGTTCCATTGTAAATAGGACAATTTTGAAAAACCCTTCCTTGAGTAGCTTCTTCTGCACAGCCCAACTTTACTGCCCATTCTAAGCACATTCCAACCATCAAAACCATGCCAGGAGACCTTTTGTTTTGAAAAACCCTCTTCGAGTTGCTTTTTCTGCACAGCTCAACATTCCTGCCCATTCTAAATGCATTCCAATCATCAAAACCATGCCAGGGCACCTTGGTTTAATAACCCTAACCCTGCCCTGGTGCACACTCCTAACCATAGTAGATGGGTAATGTACCACTGAAAATAAGGTGATTCTGAAAGAGCCTTCCTTGAGTAGCTTTCTCTGCACAGCTCAATATTTCTGCCCATTCTAAACGGATTCCAACCATCCAAATCATGCCAGGACATCTTGTTTTTCTGATCCTAACCGAGTGAGGATGAACCTTTTAGAGAATGAGTTCCCAATCTGTACCCCTGATCCCACTTATTTATTGCAAATTTCCAACACTACAATAAAACCTGAAATCTGAGGTTTTAATTTAGAAAAAACAACTCACAGCCAGTCCAAGCAAAAAAAAA